TTAACGTTAACTTCCGTTAAATCTTGCGAAATGTAACGTTTTAACGTTTAACGAAGTTAATTTTTTTATTAACGGTTTAACGATTAACGAAGTTAACTATTTCATTAACGGTGCCCAGCTATGGTCACGGGCCGCTTGCTTAGTGACAGCAGCCAGCGATTTAACCCTTATAAATACGAACTTTTTTCGTATTTATAAATGGTACTAAGAGACAAAAGCGTTGTTTTTTTTGTCACGGCGAAATCATGGGCTAAAAATACTATGTGCAGAACTAGCCTAAAAAGTTTTGACCGTGTGCTTTACTGTCACTTTTCTCTCTCTCATAAACTAAAGGGCAAGGGTCTGGTCAGCTTTGGGAGTAATAAACCAGATTCCCCATTGATTTGTTAGATTCATTTTCCGATATTTTTATTTTCTTGCATAAAATATTCCGATCGACTTTTTGAACTGTAGACTTTCCTGGTATGTTAATTTTCTTGTTTGATGCTAAGAAGCTAATCCTGATGACATATTGCAAAACCATTGAAGACTGAATGACCTGACGATGATGATGTCGAAAAGTACTTAACTCCAGGCAGTGGTACTCGAGATAGCAATATTGCTAACACGATCAAGCAGTACAACAAACAGTCGCTCGCTCAAGATCCACGCCCGCTTCACGCTGTTATGTCTTTTGTAAATTAAAAAATATCTTACTTCTGCTAGTGGAGACTAAATGTCCTGACGATGATGATGTCGAAAAGTCCTTAACTCCAGGCAGTGGTACTCGAGATAGCAATATTGCTAACACGATCAAGTAGTACGACAAACACTCGCTTGCTCAAGCTACACGCCTGTTTCACGCTGTTATTTGTCTTTTGTAAATTAAAAAATATCTTTCTTTTGCTAGTGGAGACTAACACCCGTATCACAGAATTAGTAATAGTACAGGTTCACAAATGATGCTTGCATTAGTGAAGCCGCAAATCGAACGCACAGCGTTGAATAGAGCTCTGTGATTGGTTCGTGTGAGACTTGTGCGTGCGCGCACTGTGGGACCTCATAGTAATGTTTGTGAATGCGAGCGTAAAGGTAACACACAACCCGGCCGGGTCCGCCTGGCCCGGCCGGGTTGGCGCCGAATGCAACCGGGCCCGGCCGGGTTGAGAAACATACCGGGTTGCAATCTCTAATAGCAATATTGCTAACAATATCAAGTAGTAAGACAAGCAGTCGCTCGCTCAAGCCACACGCCCGCTGCACGCCACGGGTCACGCTATCGGGGGTGTGGCCGATGTAGTGGCGTGTCGCGCTGCACTTGATAGGAACTCTTGCGTCATTAGCGGGATTGGAAATTTCCTTTCAATTGTCACGGGTTAAGATTCTGGCAGAACGAAGCTCAAAACTTGAGTCAATTTCAATTGACGGATTTTGATTGGTTGAATTTGAATTTTCTTTTGGTTAGGTTTAGGTTTTATTTAAAACAAACAGGACAGAATCGACTTTGATACGAACATTGACTTTGATGATATGGATCTACTAAGATCTTATGAATTTGATTTGATTGTAAAATAAGCAGAAGTGGCCTTAATCATCATAGAAAAAATATGGGAATTCTTCTATGCAGTAGGTATGTCATGTCTAATAAGATATTATAATACCGAACAAAACGACTTTGGTTTATTAGAATAACTTTATTTCATCAAAGCCCAGCCACAAAATAATATAATCAATCTATACAGCTTAGTAAAAGCAGTGTTTTATTCAAGCGAATAATCATCTTTTTGATACAAATCGATCTAATTCTAAAGCGAATAAAAGCACCGACTAAAAGTTTAATCTCCACAAAAAACGTTAACATTNACGTTAGTACTTGAAATCTTGAATCGATAGGTAAGATTTTGATTCTGACTTTCTCATTTTATTGTATTCGTCATCTAAATTTAAATCTATTTGTATTATCTCAAAAGAACCAAAAAATAGTCCTTTTAACAAGTATCTACTACGGCTTTACATTGTGTGTCTAATAAAATATATTCTGCAGAAATTACCTATTCCCTATGTATGAATATTGTGGCTTTGACCTCTAATTCACACAAAAGACCCAACCCTCGTTTGATTGTGGTTTGATTATGATTTTTACGCGTTGAATAAAAAAGGGCTTCACTTAGCTTGAAATGTATTTCACATTTTATTTTGTACTTGAATGGTTTTTTACTTCGAATGAAGATAAAAACGTTGTATGGACTTATTGGAGAATAATGAATGCTTGCGCTATTTCTTCTCAGCATTGGTCTACACTATAAGCTACCAAAGCAGTGGTACTTTGTAAAAAAGTAAGTCTTTTTTGGGACTTACTTAATAAAGGCGTTTTTCAAAACCCTAATTAAATAATGTCACAGACTTTACTTTATGAGAGTGATACCTACGTAATGTTTGTGCACTATATTCGTTTGATATGTAGTTTATTGTCATTCCCCAACTTTATATCAGAGCGGTAAAAATCGTTTTCTTGCCTTCGAGGGTTTGAACAGGAGAATCTTTTTGACAAGGGTTCGTAATTTGGCACGCACCTGCCAGGCACCGATCTTTGGGAGATCTCCTGGGAATCTTTATAGTAATCACCTAATGGAGACCCCGCGGCCAGATGTTGGCAATAATCCTATACCACAGATAATATAATACCCTGTACTTTACGTGGGCTTTAGTGAACTTAGAATTATAGAAAAAAATTGCAGGCCTAAACGAATTTTGATGCCCTATTTCATTTCCTTCAAGATTTTACCAAAAGGTAGGCTACCTACTAAATAAATCGAGCAAATATTGTACCTACCCCTACTGGGAATCGAACCCCGGACCTCTTGAAACGGGTGGTCTTACCGCTAAACCACACTGGCGATAAACTAACTATTAGTTAGTCAATACTAATATTATAAAGAGGTAAAGTTTGTGTGTTTGTATATTTGTTAATTTGTAAGGGGTAATCTCGGGATCTACTGAACCAATTTTAAAATAGAAAGCCAAATTATTGCTGAGTGTCATAGGTTATATAAAAAACCGGAAAATTCCACGCGGGCGAAGCCGCGAAACTACTAGTAATATAAAAAAATATATTTCTTTTGCTTTGATAGTGTTTTACTATCTGCAATGACCCAGCTATTGGGTAGATACTTATTAAGAGGTAAGTAGTTCGGTATTGTAAGTTCCTCCGTGGTTGAGGATTCCGGGTGAAGCTCGCTTCAACCTTCGGCCTGATCGTCACTTACCATCAGGTGAGATACAGGCCAAGAGCTTCCTCGTTGTGGATAAAAAAAAAAAAAAAAAAGTTACCTATTATCTTCGTTTTTCTGAGTCACGGATCCAACACACGATCGTCATGCGGGCTACAAACAGGCACTTAACAAGTAAGTGGCACTGATAAGGTACTTTCTTGTTTAATTATTACGTTTCTAAGTAATAACACAGAATAATTTTACTAATAATTTATTATTACGGGACGAAGCTGGGTTGCACCATCTTACTTTAACTTTAACAAACGTCAAGAGTCTATTAAACTCCATACAAAAACACCGGTTATGATTATAGTCACGGTTAAAATAAGGTGGTACAACTCAGCCCAAGTAATGACACTGAATAATAATAGTAATAATTTACGGGACGTTCATTACAGTGTTTGTGATTTTACGAGGACAAAAAGATTCTTATCACACTTATTAGAGCTATATTTGAAAATACGCAGAATATTTTTCCCGTAGATAATAACACTCATCTATAAGAGAATCTCATNTATCTCAATTGTTTACATTCGCTAATTAGTTTGTTTAAAATAATAACATACTTTTCAATAGTTCGGTATTGTAATCGCTCTGTATATTAATGGGTTTCTAACATAATGTGTTACCTAAGTTTTATTATTTTCTTATCTATGTGTTTGCGGATTATCTGAGTTTATTTTCTTAAGATTAATAGTTATTAGTTCCTGGTTTGTTTTTCGCATCTTCCGTGTTTCACCATAGTTATTAAGTACCTACATTAAAATAGGTATTGATTTAAATAGAGACACACGGGTCTCAACGCGACATTTTATATAATAAGTTACATAATGTTTCCCTATTTTAATTGAAATGGAAAAAAAGTTTAAAATTTTAGATATCTATTGATTTTGTTGGAAATGTATAAAGTTGATTGTGATCTGTCGTCTATTGAAGAAAAAGCTTTCGTTCTCTTTTTTAACAAACTAGGTGACAATGCTTTGCTAGATACAAGAAATAATAAAATTAAAGTACTTAAGCCTCATTTCCTCCAATTTTAATATGTCGATTAAAATACATAGTTGACCTTATACAAATAAAGATATATCTATGATCCGGTGTAGGCGCGTACCTTATTTCGAAACCAAACTAGTTTAAGAATTTTGAGAAGGTGCAGGGCTTAATTATACACGGACCGGACAAACCGGTGTCGTAATGAACGCGGTTTTTTGGAATTCTAGTCGATCATCAAAAAACTTATTAGTACAGTCGACACTATAGCATTTAACATATATTTTTGTTGCAATATAGCGCTTATCACCACTACATAAAGTAGCCACCGTCTTTAGCTTGTTATGATGTTGTTTGTACATTAATTGCTGTTTGATGTTAAAATAATTGTGCAATCAATGAACATGACTATAAAATTGTAACCCTTTGAAAGTCAAAAATATTTACTATTCTTATTATCAGTGCTCATGACACAAAATAACCTTCATCATAAGTGATTATGGTAATCTGTGCCTTTATGGGATTCGAATCTGCAACCGAGCCAGCTCACTCTCAATCCAAAGTCTACCTAACTTGTAGACCACAAAGCCCACCGTCGTCAATAAGTCGTTGAGTCAGTAATTAATTAGACGAATAAGTAAAGTGGTTTCGCGGTTAGTCCTTCTGGCCAGTTCAATCAAGTTAAGCTAATTTAATTAAGGTATCAATGTCTAGCTGTGTTGTGCTGTTAATTAATTGTGTTTATTTCAGATTATTTACCTGTGACGTTGGGGTATTGCAGCATGAACTCCTGTTTCGCCTTGATGACATCAAGCCTGATCTGGTTCTCCATGGGAGCTTCGAGCGCTGAGAACACCAGTGCACCAGTGACTAGGTACACCATGTAGAACACCACGTAGATCAGCAGCAGACAGGTGAACCTCGCCTTCCCAAAGAAACGGGATGTAGCAAACAGAGGCTGGAATGGGGGGTGCTCCTCCTCATACAAAATCTCCCTCTCAACAATCATCTTCTTCGGGTATGGATACAGCTGGCTGTGCACGATCATGTCATCGTCACTCCTCGAACTCATGCTCCCGTAGGAGTGGATCCTCGGATACCTCGACTTCTCCATCACGAAAAAATAAAAAGTCAATTTCAAAATTTGGATTTAGAATTTCGAACGCGCGAAAGTAACACAACTTTTTTATCTAGCCGGCTTGTTACCACAATATTGTTCCAGAACACAAACCAAATCCCGGAACGCGGGTCGATTTGGTCAACTGTACTTGTAGAAACGTTTGGGATGATTCGGCTCGAAGAAAAGCGCGATGATTTCCGTCACTTTAGTGTCGCGTCGGCATTTTTCGAGTTTAAGAATGACCATTTTGATACATTTTAGTGGAGCTTGGGTGTGAATTTGATATGGCGGAAGCCTGCGTGCGTGCTGTGTGCCGGGCAGTGACCGCTGATCGACTGGCGCGTCGTTGAAGCGGCTTGACAAATAACACTCGCCTTATCAACGTCGTTGTGTTGTCAGANACTCGACTGATATAATACCCGCCGGCGGGGCGCTCCGCTGTAGGTAATTATCGGATGTACCGCGCGGAGTGAGCCAGGCCTGGCCTGAGTTTTGATTCGGTTCGGAATTTTTATTTCAATTGGGCAGACATTAAAATGTAATTATTAACTTTATTGCTTATGATTTTGTCTCAGTACCTACCTATTGACCTTGTTGAAATTTTAGTTAGTATTTTTACTCGTCATTATTCATTGAAAAAATCATTACATTGCTCTGAAGGGGATGCTTATTTTTTGTGACTTTTAATTTTTGGGTTTTCAATTATTTTGGTTATAATATCATAACATATGTATGTAAAGATGACATAATTATCGTTCGAGAGTGGACACTCCGCTATAATTACCAAAGCATCAATCTATTTGGTTCCATTTCCCTAATAACTGTTATTATGAAGATCGTCCATAATTGGCAACCCCGATACAACTGGGATTGTTATAATATAGAGAAATATTGATTATTATTGATTATAGTCTTTTTCACGTAAGATGATCCGTATGACACTTCAAGGTTATCCATATTACGCATACTACATATGCAGAATATATTTGAAAAAATATTTGTATTTTATTAGCAATATAATAAAAAAATATTAACTACTTGTCTTGAAATATATAGTAAAATCTGAGTCTATTGATTATATTTTAATTAAATACGATGTCAAAATATTTTTTATTTAATGTACGCAATGTGTGAAACGGAATAGATTTAGTGCTGGGGTATTTCTTGTATAATAAAATCGATTATTTCCGCGGTTCATTAATCGATTGCAGTGAATACTTAGTTATTAAAAACATCATAAAAATCAACCTATATTTTTCGATTATTGACTTTAATAAACGCATTGAAAATAAATTATTAGTTTTTAATTTAAAAAAACAGAACCAGTACTTTTTAGGAATCGTTTTTTTGAACACGAACCATGAAATTTTAATATCATCTATAAAAAACTGTTACAATAATATTTGTAATTTAAAAAAACATGTTTTTTTGTTAAATAACACCCATACAAAATATTTCTCTAAAAGTAGGTTTTACTAACTCTTTGAAAAAAATCGATAGATAAATCGCTATGGTTTAGTTATGTGACATCTCTAAATCTTTCAAACTCGAAACGTCATACGGATCATCTTAGGTGAAAAAGACTATAATTACGTACTATTTGCTATACGCGCTTATCTGTCCGTTACTGTGATATGGGATTACATTTCTGGGAGTTTGCCAGGTCCGGATTCAGGCGTTGGGTAATTAGCTCATAACGTGGTCTATAATGCGTAGCGTGGGGCATATTTATATGGAACTTAGAAATGAATGCTTCTTCAGAATATTTTATCTACCTAGCTCGCATCAATTGTAAATCTTTGAAAAATATGAGATTCGATAGCAACATTAGCAACACTTAAAACCACTCCCTTATAAATATCATTTAGTATGGAA